CCTGGAGAAGAGAAGGCTGAGAGGGGATCTGATCAGTGTATATAAGTACCTCAAGAGAGGGAGTGCAGAGGACGGGGATGGTCTCTTTTCAGTGGTGGCCACTGATAGGACTAGAGGAAATGGCCGGAAACTGAAACACCAAAAATTCCATAGGAACTTAAGGAAAAATTTCTTAACAGTGAGGGTGACAGAGCACTGGAACAGGCTGCCCAGAGAGGTTGTGGAGTCTCCTTCTCTGGAGATCTTCAAAACCCGCTTGGATGCAGTCCTGTGCCACGTGCTCTAGGTGTCCCTGCGTGTGCAGGGGGGTTGGACTAGATGATCTCTAGAGGTGCCTTCCAACCCTAAGCATTCTATGATTCTATGATTTCTCTCCCGGCAGTCGACTTCAAAAAAGGTTAAGTAAGTGCAGCATATGTGGCTTTCAGTAAGAGCAGCCTTGGAGTAACATCCTGGCCTCACCATCTCTCCCATGCGGGAGGAAGTCTTCTGTCTAAAATTAGGAATGAAGATTAGATATGCCATCAATTTCAGAACATGCACTGCCACAGCCCCAAAGTATGGCAGCCTTTTTTTGAAGTAAAAATTACACAAATTTATTCTGAAGTATAGGCTGACTACCATATATAAACTATAGGCTCAACTATATCTAGCATTTGGCTACAATACTTGTTGCCTGTATCTTCTCTAGAGTAAATATCAGTATGGTAAAAATATTGCTCTTCAGTTATCATAGGCTGCAGATGCTGAAAATAACAGTCATGCTCATTATGATAAACATGCACCTTTAATATTTGATTTAGGATACAAGTGATCTGCTGTTGCCTTCCTCTGCTAAGATTTTATTCAGACATAACAGATTTCTCCAACAGAGCACACTATTTTCTTTGGCCTCTTTTTTATTCAAGCTTTTCCATTTTCACTGTACACTTATTTTTTTCTATTTTAAGTAAGATATTTTAGTAGCTTTCTAGGGACAAAATTAAGTGTGAGGTTGAACTTAGCTTTTCTGACTAACAAATGCACAAACTGTGCTATATTTCAAAACATGGAGTATAGCATTTTGAATCTAGTCAAAAATCTCAGGAAGAAAAAGTTCACGTTCAAAAGGAAAATTAAGGTCTTTGAGAATAAAGAGGTATAAGGCCTTTTACCATGTAGAGTTTTCCAACATGTCTAAGACTGAAATAACAGGTTTCAGGACTATCTACTTTTTTAAGCATTAAATCCAAGACCTCATTACCAGCTAGCTGTCATTACCGTGACAAAGCACAAAACATTTACTTGTTAGATTTTCTGTACTTGATAACCATATTACATCTGAAGTTACGTACGCTAACTGCAATGTTGATGTATCTTGATACCGTTATTGTTCACAGGTGAGTTTGACTTGAGAATCTGAGGGAAGAGGCATCTCTGCTCTCGTATCTTCCAGTATTTGGGACTAAAATGATGAACAATTCTAAAAGAAATAAATTTTTCAAAACCTGTCCTCCCATACCAGGATGTTCGCTTGTACTGAGATACAATCTGCTTTTTTTACTTGTTATCTGTTGATTCTTATGCAAGAGAAGTCAGAAAGACCAAAAAAAAAAAAAAAAAAAAAAAAAAAAAAACACCGCAGCTGAAGCTACCACTTCAGCAACTTGGAAATCCTAATGCTTGGTTAGGTATCAAAAGAAATGTGCTACCCGAGAATACTGAAAAGTGCCCACAAAGTGAAAGAACAGGCTTGTTACAATCCCTTCTCCTCTTCCCAATCACTTTCTCTAAGCTCAAAAATACCCAGGGTTATCTTTGGCCTTCCCTGAATCTTGCTGGAAGACTTGGATTTATCACTATCCTAATATTTTATTTAAAGGGACTTTCACTATAAATCAGACTGCGGTGTTCATCCAACCGATAACAAGTTTGTGTTTTTGTGTTTAGCCATTTATATTTCAGCTAGATTTCAAAATTATTTAAAATATTTGAAGGAAATAATCCTTCACAGACAGATGAATTTAAATCAAAACCAAAACAATGAAAATCAAACCATAATTTAATTTAGTCATGTCAGTTCTAAACCACATGAGTTCCCAACTTAGAGAACGCTGTGGGCAGGAATGAGAGCCAGGCTAACAAGCACATTACTGGAGTGAGAAAGGGAGAGTAACATGGAGGAAGGAAGAAAGAAATGCTGATTCTTCAACAAAGGCATCTTTAAAAAAGAAAAGTCTTCGATAGTAGGGAAAAAAAAAAAAAAAGCAGCAAAACAAACTGCCTAAGCATCCTGAATAAAAACTACTACTTTCTGAATCAGGTTTAACCTCACTTCCGTAAACCACTTCCCTCTCCCTCACTCGTGCTGACAAAGTTCTGCAAGAAAAATGCATTTGCAGGCTGCTGTTTTAAAGTTAACTCACTAAAGAAGTGAGCAGATACTTCTTTGAAGCTTACATAATATATGTGGAAGTCAGGACTATCAAACCTGCTACTTTTCTTCGGCACCATCAGGTAGTTGTACAAAGCACTGCTCACCATCAGAACAGTATTCTTCCTCTAATTCCTGTGTCATCTCACATTTCAAAGACATTTGTTGCTACATTGTAGTTTATAATAAACCTCCTGGTCTCATGTAAGGATTAAATGAGTCCAACAACCAACCATCTCCCACTCAGACCCAACTGCTGAACAGAAGGTCAATGATTCAGTTCTGCGGAGCAGCAACAGCCAGAATCGATGATCTTAATGACAGCAGCATCCAGGTGCATATTTTCAGTTTGATCAGTATGACCTCTGAAGAATTAGACAGCATAGATACTTATCACAAGTTCAGCGAGGCTCAGCTACAGCACACAATCAACTATCTTTGCTGAATCGCTGAAAAACTGTTGATTTTATATAACTACAGCTTATTTTCAGTCATGAGCTTTCAAATTAAAAAAGTCTAAGGCAACAGAAACTGTATCGCTTAACAGAAAAGTACCTTTCCAAGATTTGAATCTGAAGTCAAATATTATTTAGCCAGTTCATACAGTCGAGCCTTTGTCACCATGAAAAGTTGGTGTAAAAAATGAAGATCCAGTGGCACTGAAATATTATACTGCAATGAAACCATGAGAATCATGCAAGGTGTTCTCAGATATCCCAAACACATGCAATAGGTACTAGCTGGTGTATATAAACATTGTCCCAGTATCAGTAAATACAATTTAATAAACTAATAAATAACTTAAAAGGCTTTCAGAGTAGCAGGACAGTTATCACCAGCTTAAACCCTTAATTTTCTGCATCCATTTCATCCATTTTCCCATATGGTAAAAGTTTGCAACAGATGAAATATTTGTTAAGCTTTTCCATTTATAAATGCTTATTATATGCCAAAGCTTTGCACAGTTTCAAGAGAAAAAGTACAGTAACATAAAAAATAGCTAAGATTAAAAATCGAGAACTCCCATCAGCTTATTAAAAAAATGCTACTCCATTTAAGTTTCCATTCCTGTTTTCTGATTACACAAAATATCTGTAAAATGTTGCTATTCTAGCTCGCTTCCCAAGGTTTCTATATTTAGTATCTATCCTACCGATTAAACAAAATGTAATATCAATGCTTTGCTCCTCCTTACTATATCTGCTTTATTATACTGAAAATTTATTTCTGAAGCCAAATTGCATTAGTTGTTACTATATGGCCAAGTTAACAAAGATTAAACTGGCAAAAGATGATGATCTGACAGAGCAAAAATTTCAATATTAAACAGTTTAAGTGGATTTTTTCTTCCAAAACAGCAAAGGTTAGTTAGTATAGTTAAGTACCTTTGCAGAGGCACCAAAAACAAATAGCCCTTTCAAACTGAACTTCCAAAAATATTTTCATTTTCATTTCAAAAGGGATCTTAAAACTACTAGATACACATATATCCCTGCCCCACTGCCTTGTAACATACATTCAGTAATTTAAAATAAAGATTCAATATTTTATAGGTTTCATATATATTATATATTTAATATATAATATATATTTATATGTACATTACACAGATACATACACTCTCAGTCAGCAGGATTAAACTGTTTTGTTTTGAAATGTTTGATTGGTATCACTAGCCTACAT